AAATGGGCGAGGAAAAAAGATCAATTAGAAAACTTGGTAGTACAAACAGAAGATTATGATTTGTCTCCAAGTGCAATTATGATTTGTCTAGAATTAGGTACAAATAAAACCCAGAATGTATGTAATCGTAGAAAGTTAATTTCGAAATTTTGATATGAGAAATCTCAAGGGATGATGTTCGGAAATCATTGCGTGGTAGTATATACCAAGCATCAAGCTTCAGACATAGGAGCATATCGTGAATAACAGAGGCACTGCTACCGACTACAGTTTGCTGGTTGGGATGATGACAGCTGAATTCCTCGATTTCTTCTCCACGACCCTTGATAACTTTCTTACTTCTTCCTTGGCAATGTACCTAGGGCGGCTCAACCAAAGTCCTCCATCGACAACCACCGTAGTCCCATTCACATATTTGCCTTCAAAATGTAGTGAACAAGGTCAAATGTAAAATTTTGCATATATATGAAAAAGTAGCAGGTCTGTAGATGGAAAAAAATTTACAAGATTTTTGAACAGCATTAGATGAATTGTAGAATCAAGGATAAAGAGAAGTGCTAGAAAGGGGAAGCTTTTACATATCGATCTGGCACACAGAGCCAAGCAGTAAACAGACTGAATGTTGATTCCCATAGTACTACAACATTGATGTTACATAGAGGGGTCTAAACGTAGAATATAAAAAAAAATACTTTGCTCGTAAAAACATGATATGATGGAATAAGGAAGATGACAATATCAAAAAGGCTTTTTAATTGAACATTTAGATTCTTGTGAACTATCAGTTAACAACTATTATTTATTTTGATGGTACATGACATCAAGACCAATTTTTAGCCATCCTAGGATGAAAGTAACCTATCATTAAACTATATATATTGTCCTATAGATAGCGAGTCAGTCATAACATGGTAATAGATAGCAAGTATATGCATCATACTTTTACAACACGCTAAGATAATATGTGCAGGAATTATGAAGATAAGTGTTTGATCAAAAGTGATTTGACTTTTATATATACTGCTAAAGATATGAAGGCCACTTAGACTTTCAAATCCTTGTCAATAACCAGCTCAGCCACCATAAATAAAATCGGTTGTACATTTCTAGAAGAAGTTTGCTTAGACAAGGCAATATAATATGTAAAGCACTGACATTTTATCAGTTAATGAGCAAACCTTCACAGATCCAAAAGTAACCAAAAGACAAATCACCAACGCACTTTTCCCAAATATCTTCTGACCTTATCCACAAAGAGTTTCAGATGATTTTTGGTCAATATGGATGCATGACTTTCATGCACCCCAGATATAAAAGAAATTGAACATCATAGAGCAGCAGTACATGAGGCATTCCACACTAGGGACAGATGGCTAGCTAGCTATCCTGAATACTAGGAGAAAATAAGGAATGATTGTACATTTTTTCTGGTATTGGGAATAGCACCTATATTGTAAAAACACATCTCCATGTTCTGAGCAAACAATGTTAGCTTGCAAGAAGGGTGCAGGACTGATTTTGAAACTGAATCAAGCCTTTTCATGAAGCTATTACTCAAGCATTCTAAGAAAAGACAGTCAGGAAGAATATGGTACAATACTATGGTGGAGTAAGAGCAGACAGGATAAATATCTTTCTTGTTCACTTGTAGCATTATGCTGATTGAGGAAAAATTAGGATGCAGGTCAGATGGGATAGGTGACAGCATACACAGGCTGGTTGATGGCATGCTAGGGGTGCGATGCATATATATGGTCTGGTTAAAACATCATCCAGAAAATGAAACGACAGTTCCACAATAACATATATAAAGCACATTCAATGCTATATGTCTTTATAACAAATCAAGTGAAGTATACTATGGCACAAAGTTTAGATCTTAACCATTTGGAAAAACTGTATGGCATCCTAGCAATATTACAGTGTAGATTTGTTCGATGGCACAGATCATTTGCTCAATGTCAAAAAATTAAAGATGTCAGCTAACTTGGTTGGTAAAGACTTTGGCAGTATATCGTAAGATCTTGCGCTCGAATCCTGCCTTTGTCACTTACCCTTTGCACAGAAAAAAAAAAGGGTCAAAAGGCTAAACCATAAAAAAACAGATGACCCATTCGCACAAGTCTTTTGCCAGTGTCAGTGGATACAGAGTCCAGCATTCTGCAGCACTGATGTTGTCATTGTCCTATGGTAAACAAAGTTGCTGTTTCTTCCTAATACCAGAAGTTTTAGTGACTTGGATCATGTATAGGTGTACAGAGAGATATAATGGATGATACTTGAACCACCCAGTAAGATCGACTACTAAAATGACTGACACATGTATAAATTTGCAAAAGCAAAGTGATGTAGGGAAACTATAGGACAAGAGAAAAGAATGAAGAGAGAGAGAACGAAAACTCCTTCAGCCAAACATAAGCATTCCAAGTATTTGTTCTTCCAAAGGTTAGAACATCAAAGAATCAGGACTCATGCTACTTCACAATGTCAGTTCTAACACCTCAGTAACTACTCCAAAATTATCTAGATCATCTCTAGTTATACACATGGTACTATGATAAAAGAAAAGTTATACCTCTGGCTACCACCAATAATCATGACTTCTTTCACATAGATGTCAATTATGACACATTTATTTTAGTCATCAAACACTATATCCTCTAATATTAGCCATGGTTTTTCAATCGCTAGGCAATTGGGCAGGGGAAAGGAGTGAGAGTGCTGCACATGACTGGGGCCCACTTTGTCTTCGGCCACACAATTCCATTATACATAATAAAGATATTTGCCATAAATAAATTCATTATAATGAGCATAGAACCATCCCTACCACACAAAACTATCTTTCATGTCCTCAAAGATAAGAATAACAGAAGGGTAATAAGAATAAAAAATTACAATCAACAACAAAAAAAATGACAAACCTGCATCAGAAGCCAAATATAGGGCAGCCATCGCAATATCCCATCTCTCCCCCAGCTTATACAGAGGCCCAAGTTCACTATAATTGTTCTGCATTTCTTCTGGTGCAAGTTTCCTCATTCCAGGAGTGTCTCCTATTGGTCCTGGTGCAATGCCGTTGACCCTTATACTGTAATCAGTTCCCCATTCTAGGGCTAATGACCTTGTGATACTGTCAACTGCTGCCTATTGATAAAGGGCACAAGTCACAGAGAATGTATGAAAATACACCAAAATGTAGAAACTTGTTAACAATACCTTGGCTGCAGATACATGAATCTGGTACCAAGAAGCCGTGTAGTGCAAAGTTGCACTAATATTCAGAATAATGCCACCTGCAGATGGACCCTTTCCAGGTCCTCCCTTTTTTAGATACTTCAGAGCTTCATGGCACATTGTGAATGTCCCAACAGAATCAATGTCCATAACTGGAAAAGTCAAATTACAGTACAACCATGAATTAGTATTTACCAAATCTAGCAGCTTTATCAGCAAGAAATTCATGTGTAAAACAATCACAAAACCGTAATCTAATGAATATAGAGAAATTTATAATGTTTTTCATTATCAAATGAGAGACTCTGTCCAAAAGACACTCTCCGCCAACAATTCCACCAAGAATTTGACTTGAATGCACACATGTTAATGGTGAAAGTTGCTATTGATCACATCTATTGCGTATTGCACCGAAAATGCCAAAAAAAACAGCTACCTGTCCGAAAACCATTAGGTGACAAATCCTCTGGTGACGCAAGAAAATTCCCTGCTGCCCCATTGACAAGAATATCAAGCTTCCCAAAATGCTTAAACGTCTCTTCCACCACCCTGGCGGCATCTTCCTGCTTACGAACATCCCCCTCAACACCAATCGCCTGCAATCATATCAAGCTTATATAGCTCAGTATATTGCAGATGATGACATATTTAGACCCAACAAAATAGATCAGTGGTTTTGCTTGATCTGTAGCTATCCTGTAGTCCGAAGTCTGAAGAATAATCAAAAGAAAGGCGGGCCAAACTGGCCTTCCATTTCCTCAAGAAAAGCAGCATACAGGCAACGCTCGTCTCAAAAATTAGACAAAATAATCCCAAGACGCAAGCAACGACTGCATCAGTGCGAAACCCTCCAGGGAATCTCCCCAATTTTTACAAAGACGGAATCTTTGATACAGGAATAGATAAAATAGGAGCAAAATGGCAGAACAGACCACGCGATCGATGACAGAAAAAGAGCTTCAGAAACTACGAAAGCTAGACGTTTCAACAAACAATTAGGAATAGACGAACAATCCAAACAAAAGATTAAATCTTTTGGATGAGCGCAGGGGGGTTCACCCGAATCCCCTCGGACCGGAGGGCGGCGACGGCCGCGTCGACGACCTGGCGGCGGCGGCCCATGATGGCGACGGCGGCGCCATGCCTGCCGAACTGCGTGGAAATCTCTAAGCCGATCCCGGAGCCGCCTCCGGTTATGAGAGCCACCTTCCCATTTAGGACATCAGCCTTGAAAGGAGACTCCATCGCTGCTCTCTTCCCCTGTCTGTGTCAGTTTGAGCTTTGCAGAATGCAGATTGTCAAGGGCCTTGATTTCTTCGTGGTGGAGAATGGTCAAGAAGAAAAAGCATGCCAATCACGTGACCGATACAAATCTTGCCAATTAACATGTCTCAGCGACACACAATCTTCGAGTAATATGTTTAATAAGCTTCCCTCATTTATAATCTCACAAATATTTAAATATTTTTAAATAATAATAATAATAATGTCAGACCACATCATGAAGACCAATATAAGTGTGATTCATTGTAAGTAATCCACACCATTGGGGATAAATTAATATGATATCTTCACAGGCAATAATTATTTAGCCTATATCGATCGATCAGGGTAAAATCTGTAAGGCAATTTTGACAGAACATTGTGAGCTACTCAAAGTCACCTAAACGAAATGAATAATTAGTTCGATCCTCCTACTTCACAGTCTGTGAACGGAAGAGATGAAATCCATCACATCTGGAATCCATGAGAAACTAGTAATATACTCAGGTGAAGACACAAGAGGAGCTTTTCATTTTCATCTTGGCACAGAACACAGTTTATTGCTGCTGAGCAAACTTCCACTGAGGTCTACTAACAACGATCTTAGCAACCACTTGGACAATTGACGCATTAGAAAGAGTACATGCCACTCGACTGGACATTCCTCTTAACATCCAAACCGATGACAAAACATATGTTAGCTTACTCACCATCTGGTACCTGCTGTTGCTGTTGTGCCGATTGCTGCTGCACTGGAGGCTGCTGCCACATGTAAGCCATGGAATGAGGCTGCTGAAAAGGATACATCGTCGCAGCAGCCGCTTGATCTACAGGCTTTCCCATCATCATCGCAGGGCCTGGCACCTGCGAGGGTGCTGGCACATAGTAATAAGGAATTGAATCAGCAGGAGCGCCTACAGCAGGAAACGCAGCTCTTGCAATCCCGATACCGTCGTCCTTCAACTCATCCCTGGGAACTATATCGACCAAGAAGTCGAATATGTCAGTTCTGGTAACAGCAGAAGCAATGTCATTCTTCTGTAGTGTTCTCCTCTTATTTTCTTCAGTATGGATCCATGACCTGAGCGTCAGTTCCAGTATAAATATTTCACATGCCTTGGCAAAGACCACAGGGACCTCAGCTGAGATCATACGAACATCCCCATCAGCCTTCATGATCTTTTTTATCCGGGCAAGGGGTAGGCTGTGGTTCTTGAAATCCGTAGTTTGTTCTATCTCCAACATCTGGTTGGCCCAGAAGGCTTGGAGCTGTTGGTGCTGCTGGTGGTGGAGCTGTTGGACCTGCTGATAGGCAAGCTGGTGCTGGCTTGCAAGATTGGCTGGGTTAGTAGGATATGCTGAGGTCATTTGTGTTGGGGGAGGTACAGCACCTGTCACTGCTGGATCTCCAGTAACCACCGCAGCCCGTTGATACGTTGGTGCAGCATATGCTGTTTGGGCAGCACCAGAAACAACTCCAATTACAGGGCGAGATGGTTGTGTTGACTGTTCCATGATCACAGCACTCTTCACTTTCCACTACAGGACTGCGCCAAACATGACTGGGAAAGAGATACGGAGATGATATATATTAATTAATGACCGATAGCCAATAGTTAAAGCATCTCCTATCAAATCCTGTAGACAATCAAACAAGAGTAAAGTAAAAAAAACAAATCTTCAACAGTATGCTTTTTTTTTTTGAAATAAAATGCTGTAATTTATTACTAAACTTCAGAAGTTCCAGTTTATGATACTGCATGACTTAGAACTCAGAATAGTATATAAAAGCTATGATGTCTGTAGCATGGATCCTACTTCACCATCGAGCTCAATGGTTATATACATTTCGTCCTACGTTACTCCTGCTTATCTTCCTCAGTTTGGTTGTGCAGACACAAAAGCCACCCAGGTAGGGGATTTCAGAATATGCATCTGCAGTTACATACTTCTATCAGAAAGTTCACTGTTAACTAATTCAGCTCGAGCTGGCTTTGTTGCCTAATTCAGCACTGTAAACTAATCCACAATTACATTCACCATCGAGCTGGCTTTGTTGCCTTATTCAGCTCTGCTTTTTCTGACAGGAATGTCTAGAAAGTTCATATAAATGTTCACCGTTAACTAAGAGTTCAAGACAATAGTAGAATTCATTATTTCCTAAACCACCAATACTGCACTGTCCCTGTTTTGTCTAACATAAGAAGAATCCTAGCAAAAGCACTTGAAGAAGCATCCTCAGTGATAAGAACAATGTCAGTGGAGTTGATGCAATTTCTTTCATGATTTTAGGCAGGTTTCTTGTCACTAAACAACTTCATCAAACAAAATTGAACATATGACATGAGATTGCAGCCTCCGCTTGCGTTAAATAAGCAGTATAACTTCTTTTACCCCTACAATGTGGTCGTAGAATTATCAACTTTACTGACCAGATTTTTGGAGTCCATTTTTAAGTTAGTTAAATCAAGAATGGCAATCATGTAACAATGCTGGAACCTATCCAACAACCCAAAAAAAATATCTACACAATTTCTTGTGTGTTTTGACTTAATTAAAGGAAAAATTGAAAATTCAGAGCCCACTACAGCAAAAGCATAAAGGACTCACTCCTAATACCAGTGCACATATTTTATGGTGCTTAAAATTAACTCCAGAATTTTGTGTAAACTATAAATATGAATAAAATAATATTTCAGAGAAGAACAAACTATAATTTCATGCAAGTCTTAAAGTTACAAGTCATTTTGTAGTTTCTTAACTCAATAAGAAACTTGGAAGTTTGAAGATTATATTGTCTTGTCCTTGTGATATGATGAATAAATTATCAGATTATGGTGGCACAAAAATAGTATGTTTTTGAGATTTAATTCTCATTGAAGACTAGAATAAGGCATTTCACAATCCTGATTTGTGGTATTCAAACCCATGACAACTCAGTTAAAACCACAGCCAACGCGAGTTCCCCTCCCATCCACACCCCCAAAAAATGTTCAAACAAATTCCCAAATCACAAAGGTCTGGAAGTCATCAGCATCAAGATGAACATTTCTGCTTTGCATTAAAATAGGTAGACTCTACCCTATGGGTCAAGCTTTTCCTTCTTGATTAGAAATCTCCTGCAGTGGCAGGATTAGAAATGTATAGTAGCCCATGTAGGATCTTTGAAATCCACTTCCTCATTTCCTTCCCCTCAAGCTATGAAGGGCAATTGACAGACGCTGAGGCTTGCTGCCTATCAATGTAAGACATGAGACAGATGCATCAGACATGTACATAAGCATATCCAATGTGTATCTGTGCAGGATACATGTCCAATACAAACTAGCTCCCAAATTCCATGTCCATGCTCCATAGGCTTAACCATGTAGTCTTTATATTATAACTTGTATGTCAGATGATGTTATGATTTCCTGCTTGCTATCTTGGTGATTAAAGAGGATGTCCACCTCAATGTTCCTCCACTTGGTTTCACCAATACTACAATAATATCTACCCACCCCCTGGTTGGGAGAAAGAAAAGAATGGGCACACACACAAACTGATAAAAAGGTAGGTAGAGAAACCAGCCCTCTACTTGTGGCCACTGAGCAACCTTATGATATTTGAAATTATAGGTAAGCTATGCATGCTGCAGAAAAGGAAGCTTGAATACCTTTCATGAAGACATGAACATAAGGTTTTTCCCGTTCTTGCGGTAGAAGAGACTATGGAACAAGGAACATGTGAAAATGCATCAGGACTACAAGCAAAAAAAACTCCATGCTGCAGAAATTAGAAAACTTGAAGGTACTAACATCTGAACAGTCAATTACACCAGCAATATTGTATTCCTACCCTCAAAACAAAGGAAATTGTCAACATTTCAGCTACTAAGTTCAATTAACCAAAAGCTCCTGCCACTCAAATCGAAAATATTATATCATAGATTCAAACAATATAGATAGGTAATGAACTTTTTGGTGCAAAGAGAAACAAAAGTAAATAAACTTTCCAACACAGAATCATATTGAAACCGAAAAACAGAAAGCCCAAGAGAAGAATTTAGATTCTCCCTAGAGAAATTCAAGTATGTCAAGAAACTCTCGGTGATATAACAGTCGTACCACATTGTAATCCTTATGAATCATTACTGAAGCAATGTTATTGAGAGGATAGTACAACTGTCTCTGTTCAGGTAAACATGAGCTTCAATAGATCATTTTTTTCAGTCTCTCAGTTCTCTCTTTCCATACCTATGATATACTTAAACGCCAAACTAACTTTAAAGCAGTGTCTAATATGAAACAGGCTACTCATATCTCTATTGCACAAAAAGGGCCACATATGCTACAAAACTTGCATATAAATCCTCTGTTTTCTTTTTCTTGTTTGTGTGTCTGATTCTCCTGCCAGAGAGGACCTGAATCCTACCATTCTACAGGAAAGAGATCCAGGAGCTAAGAATAGGGCCACCAATTACTTAGCAGAAGTTTGCAGCCATTATTAAGGAATTAGGAGAGACTGCATAGCAATGAATTTCTCCATAATCACTCTAAAGAGAGAGGCCTAAGTGACACTTTTTTCGTAATTATCTGAATCATGAAACCTGACTACATTGTTTCGAATATCAAAGCGTCAAAATGATCCCTTGAAAGATTCTCAGAGGTGACAAATTTACATTCAGCATTCTTTCCCAAGCTCTAATGTTTTATAGATGAGTCCCAAAACGAGCCTCCACCTTCAAACTGTAAAGAAAATGGTTACAAAGCTAAGTTCATCACTCTTTTTATTAAACTGAATGTGTATGTTTCACAAACTCTTTTTTTTTTTCTTTTTGCATAAATTGACAGCTCCCAACTGCTCCAACGGAGGCATTTAACAGTTCTTCGAAATCAAAGCTAACAATTTTTCTCAAAACTGAGGCTCAGAAAAGTTCATGATAAAGCAGAAATTATGAACAAAACCAGCAACGGATTGGTATCCAAAAGGATAAAAAGATCTGCTTTATCGATTAACACATGAAATGAATTCGAAGACGAATGAAACAAGAACGAGATTCACTCCTCACCCGCGAAGTCATACTCAACGGGTTACCCACGAAGGCTCCGTCGTTCCCTGCAAACCGAACGTAACGAAGTCACTAACTTCGTGCATTGAAACTATTTAACCTTGTCCAAACGAGGAGTCGATTGAATTCTAGAACAATGAACTGCGAACTGAAATCACTACGTTCGACCCAAACCGTACGAATTCGTGACACAACACTCGACAGCCAGAAAATCTGAGGCACGGAGATCGAACAGACAAAGAGACAAAGACACAGAGCCCTAAATTGAACAAAGATGATCCAATTTCTCCTTTCTTTCACCAACCTGGAAGAAGGCAGAGGTAGCGCTCGAGTTGACCTTGGAAACCCTAGAGAGAGCGACCGGCGAAAAAGAATACATAGAGAGAGAGCGCGCGCCTCAATCAGCAGTGACGACCCACGTTTCGACCGGGACCAATTTACTTACACGTGGGGATATGGTATTGGTTGGTGGTCAAGGAGAGAGGTGGTGTCGAAGGTCGACTTTGGTGCGTGCGGTCTCTCATCGACCGAAAACGACGGTTCGAGATCAGATGGCAGTTGGGGTAATTATAGAGAAGTGTGGGGGTTGATGGAGACGTGTTGGTCGTCCTCTTGTCGTCAACGGTCTCTACGTTCGAAAGAGCATTACAACACCACGTTGTCATTTTGTTCTGTTGACACGTGTTCAAGGTTTTTCAATTATTCCGTTATTTTTCTCACAGGTGTCTTTTTTTTTATATCCTCAAAATACCTCTTTCTGATACATAAAAAAAATCTCATGATATGTATTTTTCAGTCCATAAAATGAGTCAATTCATCACCATGTCAGTTACAAGATTTTTAAATATGGTTATATTATTTTTACTATCTTCAAAAAAAAAATACTATAACTTTATTCATTATAAATGATATAATTTTTTTGAAAAAAATATATAATTTTAAAAAATTTTGATAAAGCACTCTTATTTTTAAAATTTTATAATATCTATGTATCCATGGAGACAATGTTCTTTGTTATTGGTAATATCGGATGTTTTAGTTAGCCATTACATATTTGTTACATAACAACCCGTTAGAGAAAGGGCATAGCAAAAATGGATGAGTACTAGAAATGAAAGTTTAAGTTCTAAAGGGAATTAGTTTTACTCATATTTTATAAGAGATGCTTATTTATAAATCTGATCATCTTAGAGCTCATCAAGAAGTACTTAGTGCTACAATCATCAAAGGAGAGGCCCCTCCACGCTTCGCTTCGTCATCTCCATTGCCTCCATCGTTGTCCTTAGCTAAGGGAGCTATGGGTAAGGATGTTGAAGGCAAGAAGCTTGATCGAGGACAACAAGATGTAGAGATGATTTTTGATGATCTTTCTCCACTCTCTTCGATCTTCCAAGCACGATAGCCAAGAAAAAAAATCTCAATGCTCTCTTCATGGACGATACCATAACTTTAAAATAGAATCGAGGTATGTCACCAGAGAGGAGAGAAGAGAGAAGAGCATTGATATGAGGCGAAGTGGAATGTAACCAAGGGGACGAGGGATGGTGAGTAAAGGTGACTAGGGGCTATAACAGAGTCAACCAAAGGCGAAGGTGATACCCTATATTATGGATATAGGGGTAAAATCATCTTTTTATGAAGGAAGAGTCGTTGTAAGATAATTTTTGAAAATGAGAGTGTTTATAAGAATTAATTAAAACTATATATTTTTTATAAATTATTTTTAATTTTGTTACATATATTATTATTAGATGAATAAGAATAAGAATATATATATATATATATATATATATATATATATATATGAGATTCAATCAAGGTTGATAAATTAGCTTCTATTTGATTATAAGTCAATTATATTATCTTTACATAAGCTCATGGTGTCTTCGTGAAAATACAAAAAATATTATAATATTATTAAAAATAATATAATTGACATAAAAATAGAAAGGACAATAATTTTTTTTGTTTGTCCTATCAGAAATATTTAATAGAAAAATAAAAATGGGCACCAACTTGTTAGCCAATTTGACTATGGGCGGACCCCGTCGTCTCTCTAATTATATATAATTAATTATTCTTAGCATCTCAATATTTATATTATAAAAAATTATATTGAAATTCTTAGCTAAACATATAATTTTTTTCTCATGACATTATCAATTATCGGTTTATTATTAGTATTATTAGTATTTTCGTTAGGACAATTAATAAGAAATAAGATTAAATATTTTTATTTTTATAATTATAGAAATTTTAATATAATTTTCGAAAGCGTTTGAAATCGAAATCATAAAGCAAACTATCCCCGGCCGTTTCCTCCTCCGCTCTCCTTCCCGCGGCCACACTCCTCTTCCCTCCCGAAGCGCTTCTCCTCTTTCCCAGTCCGAAATCCCATTGCCGCCCACTACCTTACCTTCTTTGCCCCATCGCCCCTTCCCGGTCGACCATCCCCTCTTTTCCGGCCGGCTCTTCTCCTCCGCTTCCGGTAATCACTCTCCCTTATTACTTCCATTTTGTATATCTGATTGGTTTTTTCACCCAGTTCTTGAATGGAAATAGCTCCGTCGAATGTTGTTCTTCTTAGATCGGGGGATCAGGTCACTGCTGCGCTCAAAAAGGCGAACCGTGAGTGGGTTCTTCAAGTATTTATGCCTGGATGTTCTTTTACGGTCTTATTTGCTTCGTTTTTAGTTCGGAGAGAATCGTGTTTCTTTCCCTTCTTTTTTCTTGAAATAGAATTCCTTCTCCAATTTGGTTGCAGATGATAAGTTGCGGGCGATCTTTTACTTCACGGCCGCTTGGTGTGGACCTTGTAAGTTTCTGCCTTAATCTTTGATGGTGTTGTTTGTATGTGCATGATCTTTATTTTACTGCGATATCCTTGCAGCATTTTTTTGAGGATGTTATAAGTATTGTTAGGGATTTAGAGCTTTAGGGTTCATTTCTTTACTTACTTATTTTTATTTAGTTAACAGTGGATCGGTATATGTTCTGTATCATTCTTGCACTATTGATTCTTTTCATAGTCTCCCGGAACTATCTCTGTGTTTGTTTTGTATGGATTCTGATAAACCTTGGGAATTGGAATAGTTGGCCTTATTTTTATTTAGTTATTTTGGTTTGAATGAATTTACACAAGTAGATGTAGCCAAAATAAAAAGATAAAGAGAAAGGCTGCTATTTGGATGTAACATATATGTACATGCATATGTATGTATATATATGTATGTATGCATATGTATGTATATATGTATGTATGTATACATATACACATATACATACATACATGTGGAAATATCTTTACCTCATTTCCATATTGTTTTGACATGGAGTAAATAGGCACACTTTTCCTCATTAAATAAATTTATTGTAGTAGGAGACTAAAAATTAGTTAAAGACTTCTTATTAACCAGAGGACTCTGATTTGGCTCCATGAGCACGCCAAAAGAGTGCAATTCATTGATTGACTTAGGGTCTTTTTTCTTTCTGCATATATTGAATAATGTGGATGAGATGTTTGAGCAGTTGATATGCAATTTTGATTGCATAGATAGTGAATATGCAATTTTTTGACAGAAAAAAATATACTTTGGATGATTCTTGGAATTTATTTGGGTTACTAATGTATGATCCAGGTGATCTATTGATCCCAGAGTGGGAATTCTTGAAATTTTGGTTTGAATAAAAATATTAAACTTCTTTTGGCCTTTTGGCTATGTTGATAGTATTTATAAATATTGGGATCTAACAATAGAGGATTTTGAAATTTTTGTAGATTTTGGCAAGGAGGATTTAAACTTTAAAGCAGTACTTCTTCACTCTTCATCTTTCAAGCTTCAATACTTAAATGAATAAAAAAAAATAATACATCAGATTTTGGACTTCCCAGTCGAAGTAATTACACAATAGTGTGCTGGTTTTGAAATTTGTGCTAATGTGTTAATGAAACATGATAGTCTTATGATGATGTGACAGTTGGCAAAAAACAGTTATATTTAGTAAATCTTGGAGTAATTATAATTTTGGGAAGATGGAAACCAAAATTTTGTTGGGTATATTTGAAAAGTAACAATAGTTAAAAATTTGAAGTCTCATTATAACTGAAAGTCCAAAAACTGTTTTGGCATGGATCAGTGCTGCAGTGCACCAGAATCTTGAAGATTTATGAAAATTAATCTTTTGGGTGCTTTTTCTTACCCTGATGTTTTGAGTTTAGATGGCTCTCGACCTCCGGCATCTGCTTCTAATGTTAAAAATGTGTTTCTAGAATCTAAAATATGGCATAAGTTTTTAACTTTACAGTTTGATCTTCTTTTATTAGTTTATCTTGTTTTAGGCACAGCTATAGTGCCAGTAATTGAAGAATTGAGCCACAAATTCCCAAATGTCACTACTTATAAAATTGATGTTGATCAGGTAACATGTGCTTTATTTGTTTATATATCTTTTCTTGGCATCTGTTGTAGGTGACGTAAGTGTCTAGTTGTTGATATCCACAGTTTGATTCATGAGGGATGTTAGTCTTTGATCTTTTTTCTGTCTCCAGAAGAGCTCTTATTTGACTTTTATTTGGTCACGACCATTAGATAGCTATGTTCATTCTATAATCTTATTCTCGTAATGCTGAAAACTTCTGTGCCGATTGTTGCTCCATAAGATCTTACCTCGATCCAAACAATTTTATTTTTATATGGTTTTCCCTTTTTTTGACTGATTTGGCACTGGAGAATCCTTTTGGTGCTTCTTCAGTTAATTCTATGTGATCGCAGTTTCACCGTTTGCTTTTCCTTTTCTGTTAATTTATACAGCCTATTTGCAGTCTTATGTTGCTATTTTTTTTGTTCAATTACTATATATTATAACAAAAACGTTTTTGGAACTACAAGTATATAACTAATGCTACACGTCTTGTTTTTGAATCTTTTGATACTTTCAGGAAGAATACTTCTCTTGTAGCTTTTGGGAATAGCATAGTCTTTATATTAATTCTTTTAAAGATTTAATGGAACAGAATACAGAATTACAACAAAAAAGTATATATTGAACTTAAGAAACATCGTAGCAAAGTTCTAAAAGTTGATATTAACACAATTTCAACATAGTATAAATACATAAGCAGAGAAATTTGAGGGAGCTCTTTTATTTTCACTATGTAATACATGTTTGCAACTCATGGTCTCTCTTCTTAGTCACCATTATTTGCTTCCCTCATCATTGAAAAAATATTCATGGTTGCAACTTGACAACAAAGAAAAGATAATCAGGCACCAAATTTGC